CAACTTGCAGCTCGGCCCAATTTTTCCCAAAAATTACCCTCTCATAAACTAAAGATTGACGAACGAAATAATTACTAAACATACCCTTAAAGTTTAGGAAAATTATATATTTCTCATATGGTTGAGTTGGGCTGAAATTTTATATTCATTTAATATTCGAATTGTGTTTGGAATAAAAAGTTATAACCTAGCCAACTTGGCCCGTCTATTTATATAATATTAATTATAATTTCATATTATTTTAGTTATAAATTAAAGTAATATATATATATATATATAAGACAATATATATATACATTTTTTACTAAGACTTACATTAAAATATTTGTTAAAAATCATATTTATTTTTAGGATAAATTACGAATACACCCTCTGAGATTTGAAAAATTACAAATATCTCCTTGTCAAAATTTTTATTTAACATAATTAATTAAAAAAGTAAAATTTCTAACTGTTCACCTATACAATAATAAAATCATCAGAATTATTAATTGAAATAAAATTTTAACATTATTCAAAACTGCTAATTAATTTGAAAACTTATTAATAAAATGACCTATTTGTTATTAAATTAGAAACGTTAGGGGACATAATGTAATTTTTAAAATCATAAGAGGTAATTTGTAATTTAAGTAAATCTCAGAGGGTGTGTTTGTACTTTATTCTTATTTTTATCATTAAATTTTGTTAACGTTCAAAATTTAAATAATAAATAAAGTAATTTAAATAATTTAAATAAAATAAAAATAAAAATAATTAGGGTAAATTACATTTACCTCCCCTGAGATTTCTGACAAATAGAGGGACCTTCCCTGTGGTTTGAATAATTACAGTAACCTCCCCTACTTTACCTGACAATATCAAGATTCCCCCAATCCGTTAATTTTGCACAAACGACGTTACTTGATTATACAAAATGACCATATTGCTCTTTCATTTGAACACAAAAAGACCAAAATACCCTTTAATTCCTATATCTCTCATACGTACCTCACTAACATCATGCTCTGTCCCCATCTCTCTTTCATCTTACCTCATCTCTCCTACCTATAATCTCTTCGACCAATACAACTGACTCCGACGATCCCCAAGCCCACCGGCAATTATTCTCCTCAATTCTTGTGCAAAAATTAGTATGTACTTTCAATTTCTTCAATTCTAGTTCTAGGGTTTTGAAGCTCCCATACCAGTTAGGGTTTTCAGAGAGAAAGAGAAATGGTTAGCCACCGACAACCTCCTCCTCTGCAACTACTGCGACTGGGACGCCCATGGCAGCTGCTTCGTCTCTACCTCACACGATCGCAACCCTGTCGAGGGTCTCTCAGCATCTCCCTCTCCTCTCGAGCTCGCTTCAGCTTGGGGTGTCGTTTCCGCCTCTTCCTCCAATATTGAAGCCTTCGCCGCTGCGCTTGGCTGTTTCTCATCCTCCTCCGAACCTTCCCTCAAAATCGTATATTTAATCTTTAAACGCGTCGA